ACTGCCAAAACGTAAAATACTTATATTTTCTCATAAGATCAGGCTGGCATAACCAGATGAGCAATAAATCTTGGCTAGAAATTGCAACAGCCGTGGGAAAGGACAAAAGTTTTTGCAAAAGATTGGAAAAACCTGAGGGATATGTTTGGTCAAACCAAAAAGAAGGGTCATGGCAAAAGTGGAGACACGGGTAGTTTTAATATTAAGGAAAGTGTTTTTCCACCATTCATAGGTTTTACACAGATGTATATATTACAATTTTGAGTAACACTTTACAATAAGGTTCATTAGTTAATGCATTTACTAACATGAACTAATCATGCACAACACATGTTCAGCATTTATTAATCATAATTGAATATTTACTAATGCATTATTAACATCCAAGTCCATGGTTTTTAACATTAGTTAATACACCATGAGTTAACATGAACTAACAATGAGCTACTGTATTTTCATTAACTAACGGTAACTAACATGAACAAATATGGTAGTAAATGTATTGTTCATTGTTTGTTCATGTTAGTAAATGCATTAATTAACATTAACTAATGAACCTTATTGTAAAGTGTGACCCAATTTTGAATTTAATAGTTACAGAACTATTATTTCTTTGATATCTGGAAAAGAATATTTAAACCTATCGGTTAACAATATACTGATGCCCTGTTTCTCTAGGCTTCATTGGTGCATGGTCTGGAATGCTGAACCATTATTGCCTTTTTAGCATATAAGTAGATGTCAGAAACTAGCCAGACAGTAATGTGTCATTTGTGGAGCGGGCTAAATAAAATAAAAAAAAAGTAAAACTGTTCAAGATATGAACAAAAGCAAGTGATGCATCAAAATTTGATTTAAAAAAAAATCTTGAATGGTTATAATATTCTTTATACTTATTAAAATAATTAATACAAATAATTAGTTTAAAAATCTTCAATAATATTAATGATATGACGTAGTTCCGGAAATTTCCTGATTGCTTGATTTAACTGCCCCCTGTCGTTTTAAAGAATATCGCAATCACAAACGAGTCAAGTATAAAAGCCTCGTCTGTTTCGTGAGGTGCACACGCAATCGAAAAGTATAAATCTCCCGACTCATTCAAAGCTCAGAAAAACATGAAATCACATCCTCTAAACAAACCATTTCCCTTCAGTGATTCAATCGTAAATAATCAATCTGCGAGATTGTTGCGCACACATAAAACAAGAATAATGACTTAAAATGTTTTCCCCCTCAGTGTCAGTATAGGGGCATGTTCATTTGTGTAATGCTTGCTGTTATAATCACGAATATTTTCTTTCTCTAAAGGTCCTGTGAAGTGCTTTGAAATGTGCATTTTTGTTCCATGTTTGACATAATTTTAAATTTAACATGTTGACAGGGTGGGACATGATTGTATGCTCCTACCATTTTAAAAGGACAGCCAATAGTGTTTTGTTTTTTATCATTGCTCTGCCCGTGAGAGGGACTGAGCTGGAGCGCATCAAATAAAAAAAGCTAATGAAAATCATTGAGAAGGGGGTGGGGCATGTCAGATAGTAAAGAGCATAGGATTGGTCAAAAGATTTGATGAGAAACTGAAGTATAAAGTGATGTCAAAAAAATACATTTAGGCGGAAGTAAAAAAATGCGAGTTTGAATGATTATTTTTTCTAAATGTGAATTTTGTCACCATTTTAGAGCAGAATAGCTTATACATATTCTAAATATAGACTAACAGCGATACTAGCATCTAAAAAATATTTAGATATCATTGGGACTTTAAATGTACATAAAGTAAAGCACTGTAAGTTTACGTGTAAGTGCAGTTTTGTACATCATACAGAAGACAACATTTGAAGTGAATCATCACCTTATACAACAAAGTTTGAAAAATGGCCAGTGTTGACCTGGGATAATTTACAAAAAAACATTTTGATTCACTTGGAATGTTGACTACGGTGTGATGTGAAGATTTCATCTTTCTAGTCCAAAGTCAAAATTATAACAAATAATAAATGAAAATCAAAATTCTGTTTGTTTTTCCTTAAACAAACAAAATTATCTTCGTAATAATTGTTCTTAAGATTATTTTGCTTGTTTTAAGGAAAAAAAATCACTTAAATTTGAATGGAAACAATTTTTTTTACTCGTCTAGAAAATGCTTCTTGATTCAAGAATGTTCAGATATTTGAACTACAGTAGAAACAAGACAAAAATTCTGAGTAAGCATTTTTTAAAATGTAATATAAGTCCGCTTGAGCTTAAAGCTAGTAGGTTAAAGTCCTATTATACTGTCAAGTCTGCTTGCTTTTTTGTGTGTCTGTGTGAGAAAGAGTTTTCAGAAGAACAGATACAATCTGTGTTTGCATTTTCAAGATAAGATGCAGTTTGACAAGTAAATACCATCAACAATCTCTAGAAACCCAAAAACCATATTATATTTCAAGGAAAGTTCTCGTTTCTGTTGAAATAACCTCCAAAATAAAATGGTAATGCTATTTTGCACAAATTATTTGATGGGTGTAGTTTAATTTGGGTTGTGTGTAGTTTACATTGTGGTCAGGAAGACGGGGTGGAGCTTACTTAAATCACTTCTTTCCCTTTTAATCACAGCCAATAGGCTTTAGTTTACATCACAGCCTGACAAATAATATAAATAAATTTTTTTGAACAGATTTACTGGGAAATACAGGAAACAAATGTAATCGTTGACTGATAGCTAAATAATCTCCTTAACTTATTATGATTAGTTAAAATTGTATAAAGTTATAAATATTTTTATGATTCTATTGTAAATTGATTATTTAAAATAAACAATTTATTGAATTTACATGATAGAATTGTTCTACTCAATATATTTCTGCATTTCTGCATTTATTTATTTGAAAACTTAAATGAATAATATTTTAACCTCCATTTAAATTTTTTAAATGAGTCAAAAACAAAAAATAAATAAATTAATAAAATTTGTAAAACATATTAAACACTTTATTTATATATTTGAAAACAACTGATTTATATTAAATGATGACATCACTATATATTTGCATAATTCTGCAAAGTATTGCTGTAATGTCATGTGTGCTGACAGCAAATTACCAAATGCCAACACTCCAGTTCTTCAGCATTTAATCAAATGGTTTATGGAAAACTACTGTCATCATAACCCATTTACACTAGCAAAGATCATTTAACTGAGTGCAACAAGAAATATGACTAAATGAAAGGACTCGTGCAAATGTGACTGAACCTCATTAATTAGATTTATAGTGTCTACAAAAGCATTAAAAGAATAGCCGAGAATTAAGATTGTTTTACCATGTCTGATTGATTTTTTGTGTATGTGTGTGTATGTGCAACTATCATAGGATTGATTTTTAGACCATTAGAATCAAGGCTGCTAGAAGGAATACAGCTGTGGCAGGAAGTTAAAGAAATTTTTTGTAATATTTACGTAATTACCTATTAATCGTATTTTAATAATCTCGACATTAACCTTCACGGTAATTATAATGAGAATTATTTATATTATTCATTAAATTGCATGTCCACTCCCACCCCAATTCTTAACCCAAACCCTCACATATAAAAATCTAATATATTCAACGTTTGACCAAAAGTCTACTAAAACATTAAGACAAAGGCGGAACATATAGTAGCTACTCCCGTTTTTTTTTAAATAAACAGCAATAGCCTTTCGATTTTATCATAGCTCTAGCAGTAAGAGTTTATTTTGATTTCACAGATGTGATTAAAAAAAAACAGTCTTAAGTGATTAAAAACAGTAAATGTAGCACAACAAAACAAAATATTAAAACAATCACGATTCCATATTACCTAACAAATAAATAAAGAAATATGATTAAAATATAAAAATGAATTAAAAAAACAAACTTTAAAAATAAAAAAAATAAAAAGTACGAGGTGACATCAGAAAAAATCATTCATTATTTTTGTGGAAGTGAGAAACTGCAAATTTTTAATACTTTTATGTTTTTAAATGTGAACTTTGTCATTGTATTGGAGCCGTCTGGCTTGCAGACAACGTATTTATATTGATACTAACAATCAAACACCTTTATTTTTTCACTTTCAAATTTCAATGCGATTAAAAGTTTTCGGTTGTACATTAAAGTTAGGTAAAAGGGGTCACACTTTACAATAAGGATGCATTAATGTATTTACTAACATGAACAATACAGCATTTATTAATCAGAGTTGAGCATTTACAAATGCTTTATTAAAATACAAATTCTTGCTTTTTAACATTAGTGCACTGTGAGTTAACAATGAACAATTTCATTTACATTAAATAATGTTAACAAAGATAAATATTACTGTGGCGAAGGGGCATGGCCGAGAGCCGTGGGAACGGAATGAGGCCGCCGCGTAAGTTGATGCACCTGCGGAGCACACCGGCCTCGAATGCCACGGAAGGAGCTCAGGACTATAAAAGGAGGAACGATGGCAGAGGAAGCCGAGAGAGGACCGGGGCCGGAAATATTTTACTTTTGCTTTCAGTTTGACACGGAGCTGCCGTCCGTTTGTTTTGGTTTAGACGACAGTCTCTGTGAGGAGTTGCCGTTACTGTTATTAATAAATAATTTAAACCTGCGTCGGTTCTCTGCCTCCTTCTTCCCGGCGGCCAAAGGGCCGTGAACTTTATTACAATTACTATTAATATAATGTAATTAATATATTGTTCATTGTTTGTTCATATTAGTAAATGCATTAACTAATACCACCTTAAAGTGTATCTGAAAAATTGGAAGGGCATCTGCTGTGTAAAACATATGCTGGAGAAGTTGGCAGTTGATGATGACCCCTGATGAATAAAGTGACTAAGCTGACAGAAAATGAATGAATAACACTACCTTAAAGCGTAACTGAAAAATGGCTACAGTTTGTAATAATAAATGTCATCAGTAATGTGTGTGTGCGTGTGTGTGTGTGTGTGTGTGTTCAGTCAGTGTGTATCTGTTGGTCATCTCTGTTCCTGTGTGTTTATTTCTCAGATAACGTTTACCTCAGAGCAGGTAAGCTGAATCTATTCTCCTCTCTGTCCTCTCCTCTTTCAGACCAAGGGCACTGCTTTGGCTTCAATCCTGTGTAAATCAAAGAAGCAGTCATCATTTACTCACAATCAGGAGAAAAAGACTATGAAGACACATTTTTTTAAATAGGACACTCCTTTCCTTCCTTTAAAACTTGTACACTTCAAAACAATCATGAAGAGATTTAAATATATCAATCAAGTAGGATAGGTGTAAACCTATTATGAATGCATCAAAACAAAATATGTAACCTAGACATAACATTTACATTTAGTCATTTAGCATGCTTTTGTCCAAAGCGACTTGCACTTGAAGCATTTAACAAAAGGAGGCAATACACACAAGAAGCCCTAGTTATACAAAGTAACATTGCGCTCAGAATTTAGTGCTAGAGAAGTATTTCACGTTCCTCTTTCAATGAAACACAAAATGAGAACATCTGGAGAATGTCTAAGCGACTTTAATAAGTGGACAAAATGTACTAAAATTCTTGATTGCGCTTTTTCTATTCTCATTTGTTTGACCTTTATTTTTAATAACTAAATATATTTAAATATATAATAAATATATTTAAGCCTTTATTTAAAAATAAAAAATAAAATAAATAAGATAAAAAATTTAATTATGCTGTTAATTTACACACTCTTAGGCCATCAGTATCTTTTTATATAAATAAATAAATAGGAAAACAAAATGCCAAGGGATAAATTTAATAATAAATTTATTATTATTATTTTTTATTTCATTTTATGTTATTTTATTTTTATCGCTTGCTTGTTTGTTCGTTTTGTTTTGTTTTTGTTTTATTACCTTTTTAGGCCACAGTGTTATAAATACTGTTCAAAGACTGAACATTTAGCTTCATAAGAATATTAACAGACCACAATTATTTTACTTAGTTTCAAACAATTTGTTCGATAAACGTATTAACAATTTTACTTAACAATTGGAAGACTGCACACAAGTGCTATGAGCTTCTTTTATTATGTTTTTAATGTTTATTTTGATTATTATATCATTATTAATTATTTGTTAATTATTACTTTATATTTAAATTAAATTAAATTAAAATTAGTAATATATTATTTTATATTATTATTAATTGTCTGTTATTATATAATATTTTTATTTTTATTTAATTTTTAATTTAATTATCTTTTATGTTATTAGCCAGTCCCCAATTCCTTATTTGCATATTTATTTAAATTATTATATATTATTATTAATTGTTTGTTATTTATTTTGTAATTTTTTATTTTATTTTATTTTATTATTTTTTTATTTTATTTTATTTTATCATTTAAGTTTATTATTTGCCAATTCCCCATTCATTATGTGCATGGGAAAAAAGTGACATTTTCCAAAAGCTTTCCCTTTGTGTTTGATGAAAAAAAAGCAGTTTTGTACCTCAGTGTTGAGTAAATGGTGTACACTAAAAATTTGGTAGTTCTGTGCCCAAATCTACGCCCATGTCTGTATGCATGTCTCTCTATCTTATTCTGCTTCTTTCTCCTTTCTCCTCATCCAAAATCACTCTTTTTTACACCGTCTTCCTTTCATTCCTCCACTGTTCTTACATTATCTTCTTCCTTGTTCCTCATGCCTGTTTGCTCAGTTCTGTGTGTTAGATTGTGTGTGTGTGTGTGTGTGTGTGTGTGTGTGTGTGTGTGTGTGTGTGTATTTGCATGTATTTGTGTAGCAGGAGACACAGCAAGTAAAGGCAGATTCAGAGGTCGTATGTAAAGCTACTTAGTCTAACATGCTTCACGAGGCACACGCACATGTTTACAGGGTTATTAGCATGGTTATCACATTTATCACCTTCTATAAATTAGTTTTATCTTTAAAAATCATGCATTTGTTGGCTGGCACGTTCACTCAAACAGTTCATCAACATCCTACGCTGCCTGTACTTCTTTTTTATTATTTAGCATTTAACTATTTATAGTTATGGCCTCTTACCAAACAACTGGCTCATCAAATTATACATTTTTAATTCCATATATAGTTGAAGTCAGAATTATTAGCCCCCTTGTTTATTTTTTTCCTAATTTCTGTTTAACAAAGAGAAGATTTTTTCAACAGATTTCTAAACATAATAGTTTTAATAACTCGTTTCTAATAACTAATTTATTTATAACTGATTTAATAATTAATCTAACTGATTTGTTTTCTATTTGCCATGATGACAGATATTTTTCAAGACACTTCTATACAGCTTAAAAAGACATTTAAAGGCCTGACTAGGTTAATTAGGTTAACTAGGCAGGATAGGGTAATTAGGGAAGTTGTTGTATAATGATGGTTTGTTCTGTAGACAACGAAAAAAAAAAATAGCCTACGGAGCTAATAATTTTGACCTAAAAATGTTTTTTTTTTTTTAAAAAACTACTTTTATTCTATCCAAAATAAAACAAAGACTTTCTCCAGAAGAAAAAATATTATCAGACATACTATAAAACATACAGTAATAAATATTTAAAAAAGAAAAAAAGGGGAGACATCACTAATATCACTAATCTATATACATTAATATTAATATACATCTCTAATATATATCCACAGTGACCTATCATCATGCCTAAAACAAAGAATGATTAATTATTATACTATACGTGCGGGTGGGTGGCGGGTGGATGATCAGTATTAAGCCGCGGATTCGGGTGTCATTTCAACTGATCCGCGCATCTCTAATACTGTAAATATACCTCACAATATGAATTATGTACCCTAAATTGATTAACTATATTTCTAATGTAATAAAAACTTAATTGAAATTGTCATTTACTTACATTTAGATTTCATTTTAATTAATTAAAATGTTTTTTTATTAAAACTGATAAAAAAATGTATTTTTTCACTGTTTTGTGTTTTATATATATATATATATATATATATATATATATATATATATATATATATTTATTAAACATTTATTAAAATGTATTAGCTTTAATTCATCTTTTAGTTTTACTTTTAGTAATTCGACAAATTTACATACTGTTATTCTTGAAGCTGTTATAATTCAAAATACTTACCTCAAGACATTCGTTTTTGCCCAGAGGTATTCTTAGTTTGTTGTTTGATTTGCATGATATTTTTTCTTTCTACTGAATTGTTTCAATTGAATGTACAAAAAAAAAGTCTGTTAAGGAAACGCAGTGGTGGATTTTGGTTGGCTCTTTGAATTGGCGTCACACACTAAAAGCAGCTTGCATTTTATTACAACAAAACATTTCAAGTTCATTGTACATGACATTTTAATTGTATCCCATTGAAAACATTTAGTTCAGTCAGCTAAATATTGTTTAATTAAACTGTATTGAAATCTTAGGTGCACTAAACTTGAAATGATTTGTTTTAACAAAACAAAGATAACACTGATTCAAAAATTATGATTATGGTTAAAATTAAAATTATTGCTAATCAAACCGTGGGTGCTTATAGTTCCCATAACATATATTGCTACCTTACATTTTAAGGTTGAATCCAATTAAATTAAACACTTACATTAGGCTATATTAAGGCCATGTCCACATAGGTATTTTATATAAAAAATAAATAAATAAAAAAGTTTTCCCTGCTTTCATAAAAAAAATAAAATAAAAAAAAAAAATAAAAAAAATTCTGTCCACATGAAAATGCAAAAATGCACTGGAATTCATGGCAAGGACACGCCAAACCAAAAAGAAGGCAATAATGATGTGTGCTGAGTTCATACTAAATAAGGAATTAAGTGTATTTCACAAGTAAATTGCATACAAGTCAATATAAATGTTTTTAGCGTTTGGTGTGTGTTGCCGTGTTGACCAATCAGAGGTGAAAACAGTGCGCATGCTGATGTCACGAGGTGAAAATTCCAGTTGTGGTGTCCAAACAACCACAGTATACACAAACTTTTGGAAAATTTTCACCTTGGGTTTTTTAGTTTCAGTCACGTGAAACTGCAAAACTGCATAGAAATAAGTGCAGTGTTAAAAATAAGGTTAGGTTTGGTTTATATAATTATACGGATATTAGTATATATATACTAAGTCATAATTATGTAAAAGGTCTTAAAAAAGGGACAAGCTATAACTTTAAAATCTTAATTGTTAGATAAAAGTCGAATAACCCAAGTAAGACATTAAAATGTTTAAATTATATGACATAATATGTGTTTTTTAATAAACAGAATCATGAAAACTGTAACTCCTATATTCCACAATAATACATGTATATATGACACTTAGTATTCTCTTCAGAAGTTCACATACTGTTGGTTCTTTTCTATTGGTCTTTTGTGTTTTATATGAGTCCTACTGTTTTGGACAAAAGGCATGCTGGTCCTGCAAGTTGGTATATTACCCAGCATGCTCTGCACATTTGATTTCTTCCCCACGGTGACTTTATGATGCAGAGCTTGAGAAACATCAAGCGATTCAAACGCAACTGTTACAAAGGGCCGCAGGCTGCCATTGATTCTCAAGGAGACGCTGCATGATACTGAGAATGTAGATGTCAGGCATTTGTGCAAATCGCTGTTTTATTAAGTAAATGCTCACTCACTTCTCACTTCATTTTACACAATGATGTGGAAGTGTCAATTGATTTCGGCAATTTAGGCTAATTCATACACTGTTTTCAACTCATAAAAAGTCTTTAAGAATGCTAAAGAGCTGAATGTTTCAGACAAGACGATGCTAACAGAACAACTTTTACTGTTCTTATATGTAAAGTGATCAGCACACTCTAAATAAATGATTAAATGTTTCCTGTTATGGAAGCCTGTTTCCCTCCAGGGAAAAAATTGTGACCAGCACATATGATAATTATGACAATATTTCTTGTCAAAGTTAAAAGTTGTCTTGTGAGTTGTGATGGAGAATGAGGGTGAAATTAGCACTGAAGATTTGAGGTAGGATTGAATTTGAACCGCAAATCAAGTGCTTTACACACACCTGCCTTGGTGTTGCGTGTCACTCGTTTGCTTGGGCGGGTGT